TTTCAGTGGGATGTGACCCTCATTCCCAGATTTCAGTGGGATTCCAGTTCCCGCAGTGCTCTCACTGCCTCCAGCTGGATTTCTTCTTTTCCTTCCTAGAAATTCATTCTCCTCGTGGTTTTTGGAGGAAAAATTTCATTTTCCCTGTTCCATCCTCACCTCCTGGGGAGCTGCACAGCGGGAATCCCTCAGGAATTTGGGAATTGGGTGTGGGTCGGATCCTTTGTGCCTCCTGCATTTTGTCAGGAGCTTCCTGGGGGGAATTCGCCTTCCAGCCCCAAATTCCTTCATTCCCTGCCCATCCCTGAGGAATCCCAGACAGGGAATGAGGTTTTCAGTGCCTTGTGCTGGGATTTTCCTTCTTCCAGGAAATCCAGGAGCTCCCATTCCATGGGAGATTCCAGCGCTGATTGGCCTCTCCCCAACCCCCTTTTCCTGAAGGGAAATAAAGGAAGATTTGCTTTTCTCTGGGAATGCCTGGAGCCATCCCAAGCCCCTGTGCCTGCAGGGAAATGCTCCTGCTGGGAAGATTTCTCTGGAATTTGGGTTTTTCCCACCTTGGCTGTGAAACTTTCCAGAGGTTTGGTTCATTGGGGGCTGCCCCATCCCTGGGTGAGTCCCAGGCTGGAATAACCTGGGATAGTGGAAGGTTCTCACTTCCTGGGAAGTTGGAATAACCTGGGATAGTGGCAGGGGTGGGATGAGATGTTTTCCTGTCCCTTCACACCTAAACCATTCCATGATTCTGAACTGGAGAAATTCCCAGAGGATTAAACACAAAAATAGCTTTTTTTGGGGGGGGAAATACTGATTCATTTCTCCCAAATTTTGGATTTCTCATCCATTGGGATCCAGTTCTTCACTCACCCATTGCAGGAACTTCCCACTGGAATCCCTTGGGTGTGAAAACCACCACGTGGCCCTAAAATTCCTGCAGGATTTTGGCTATCTCCGGGATCATCTCTGCAGGGAAAAAAGCTTTTTAGGGAGCTGCTCCGGGAATTTGGCGAGGTCGAGCCGCCCCACGGAGCCTGCAGGGTGCAAACACCAGGATGGGGAGGCAATGAGCCTTTCCCAAAGAACTGCAAATGACGGGAATTACAGCACCCAGCGGCCCGTGCCTCATTTTTGGGAGCAGGGAGCATGACTGGGACTCGTCGGTCAAAGCCCTTAGGGCAGGAAAAACCCCGGAGGAAGGGATGGGACCGGGAATGGGGGCTGGGAGTGAGACCAGGGCATGGATTCAGCTGGAATTGGGATTTGTATGGGATTTGGGGTGGGAAAATCCACGTGCTGAGAGTCACTGGGTGCCGAAAATCGGGATCCGCTTTTACACATCAAGCTCAGGGACTGGGAAATGCCTTCCCCGTTTCCCAGATTTCGGGCAGCGTTTATTCCCTGTGTGATTCCCAGCTTTTCCAAATCCCTTTTCCCCCCTGGATGTTTTTCCCTGGTTTTACCCAGCTGCAGGATGAAGGGGGCAGCAAATTCCCTGAATCCAGCGCGGACTCAGGAGCTTCGCTGGATTCCTGCTGGATGTTTCATCCCCAGCTCTTCCTTCCATCAGCTGGAATTTTTCATGGATGCGCTGCCGTGTCCTCGCCCGACCCGCGCTGGGCTGGGCAGACTCTGACACGTTCCTTCCTCCCTCATTCCAGCCTGGAATTGCTCCTGGAGCTCCTCCTGGGACACCTCTTCCCCCTGGAGCTGTGGTGGGGGGGAGGCTCTGCTGAGGGTCGGGATCCAATTCCCAGGGTTTGTTCTCTTCCCTGAGAATTCCTGGTGCGAGGAAAGGGCCTGAGAGCTCATCCCATCGCACCCCCTTCCCCTAGCCCAGGTTGCTCCAAATCCCAGAGATCCCAAATCCCACAGATCCTAAGTCCCAGAGATTCCAAATCCCAGAGATCCCAGAGATCCCAGAGATCCCACCTCCCACAGATCCCAAATCCCAGAGATTCCACATCCCACAGATTCCCTATCGCAGAAATCCCTTATCCCAGAGATCCTTTACCTCACAGATCCCACATTCCAGAGATCCCACATCTCACAGATCCCCTATCCCAAAAATTCCACATCCCACAGATCCCAACTCGCACAGATCCCTTATCCCAGAGATCCCAAATCCCAGGCATCCTCTATCCCAGAGATCCCACATCCAAAAGATCCCAAATCCCAGAAATCCTTTATCTCTGGAAGTGACTGGGACTGTAGGAGTTGAAGGAATATCCAGCAGCTGGAAAAGTGGGATGGTGAAAGGTTAAAAGTGGGGGAATCAGGGAATCGCAGCACTGGGAATTCCAGGGAATGTGGAGCAGCTGGAAAAGCTGCAGGGTTAAAGGTTAAAGGTGGGGGAATCCAGGGCTGAGAATTCCAGGGGATTTGAAGCAGCTGGAAAAGCGGGATGGTGAAGGTTAAAGGTGGGGGAATCCAGGGAATTGCCAGCGCTGAGAATTCCAGGGGATTTGGAGCAGCTGGAAAAGCAGGATGGTGAAGGTTGAAGGTGGGGGAATCTCTGGAGGTGCCATGGCCGGCAATTCCCAGGATGCTGCTCCAGAAACCCCTGGAATCGCAGAGATTTCATCACCTCGGAGCCCTCAAACACGAACATTCCCCCCGGGGCGCCGGGAGAACTCCGGGCATTGACTCTCTGCGAGCACCCCGAATACAAATCCATGCTTCTGACCCTTTTTAAATTTTTTTTAATTAATTTTTTTTTTTTTTTTGGGACGGCGGGCGCTCCCCCCGCTCTGCCCGCTGCCGGGAGGAGCGCTGCTCCTCGGGGCGGCTCCAGGGAGGGGTTTGCGGAGCGAAATCCACTCAAATTTGGCAGGAAGCTGCAGCTCCTCGCCGCACATTTCCCCTGCCTTGCAGGAGGATTTTTCCAGCCCGGGAGGAAGAATTGGATGAAGCGGGACGGGGTTGAGCTCCCCTCCCTGCACAGCCACCGATAATTGAGGTAAATTTGGGGCTGCGAGCCGGATTTGGGGCTTGGTGGCGACAAAAAGCGCGGCTGGTTCATTAATTTCAGCATTTCCAAACCTCTCTTTCTTCGCGGCTGAAACTTTCATTTCTCTCCTCCTCGCCGAATGTGTTTTTCTCCCTCTCCCATCCAGGGGAAAAATAAATTTATATTTCTCCTCATTCTTCTCTTCCCCCGAGCTGGATTTGGCCGCGCTGCGATGCTGAAGATTTTCGGTGTCACTTTTTAAAGAACTCCTGGTGCTTTTAGAGCTGCAGATTTTATCCTTTTTTTTTTTGTTTTTTTTTTTTTGTTGTTGTTTTTTTTTGCTCCCAGCCATTCCCGGCTGGAATAAAGGACGAATTCCAAGCTCGGGCAGTGCCTGAGCTGGGATATTGGTAAAAAAATCCCGAATTTCCAGCAGAAAACCGCGGCTCGTGCCATCAGCCTTGGGTCAATGTCACCCGGAGTTCTCCTCGCTGGATAATTCCCGTTTTGGTTTTTTTTTTCAGAGGGAAAACTCCGGGGCAGATGTTTGGCAGAAAAGTGCAAAATATGTCCTTAATTAAGGATTGTTTTCTGCTGTCGCTGCTGGGGGTTCTCTGAGCCTACCAGCAGCTCCTTAAAAACTGTTTTATCCTGGTAATTTTCAGGATTTCTTGGGGATATCCACCTGGAAAGCTGCCCCGGAGAAACGTGGGATGTTCAACCCGAGGCCGGGCTGAACTCACAAATATAATTGTGATTAATATTTCCTTCCCGATGAGTTTTTATTGTTAATTAAACAGCTGTGCAGATAAAAGACCCAAACCCAGATAATTTAGAATATTAGAGGGGGAGATCCAAGTTTGGATATCTGGGAGTGCAGCAGGAAAATAATTGATCATCTCCACCAGCAGCTCATAGAGGTGACAGCGCAGTGCTTCCAATTTTTCCTGGATACAGCCTGAAAATCTTGGATTTAGGGCTCCTCCTTCCCGGTTTTCTTCTGCACTGAGCCACCCAAGGTGGTGGAATTTCCTCGGCTGGGGAGTAGGGAGCGGTTAAAATAAAATTAAATTGAATAAAAGCGTGAATTGCTGGAATATCCGAGTGCTCAGGGAGGAACCACAGCTTGGAGCGAGTGCTGGGGGATCCAGGAGGGAATTTGGATAATAAGGGCAGGAGGATGTTGGGGAAACATTCCCAAAAAAATTCAGTTGTTAAGGGAAATTTAACCCTTAAATCAGGCGGTGCTGAGGCTCAGATTTCCTCTCCAGTCAAAGCCAGCAGGAGCTTGGTGGGTGCAGAAATGAGAATTTTAGGGGGAAAACCTTCAGGAAGTTTCAGCTGTTTGGAAAAGCCCTCAGGATTTTGCTCAGGACAATGTTCCTGCCTTCAGAGGGTGATGGAATGGAAAATTCACATTTTCTGCTGCAAGTTCACTCCTTTTACAGGCTGAGACCCCAAAATGCTTTCCCAGTAATGAGCTCTGGGATTCTAATCCAAAATTTTTCTCCCAAATTCATTCTCTTTACTGTCCCTGTGCTCCATTGTGCTTTCCTTTCTGTTCTGTAACTTTTATTCTTTTTTTTTTTTTTTTTCCCTTTTTTTCCTTCTCCTCCTGAGCTCTTCCTGGCGTGGTTTCAAACCAGAGCTCCCAGTTTGGGCACTGGGATGATCCCCAGGTGATTTTCAGGGCCCTTTTTTGGCCACTTTCTGTCCCCCATTTCCTGTGCCCGTCTGTGAAAAGAGGAGGAAAAGTTGCACAGCAAATCCACTGCGAGTTTGTTATTCCAAGGGGGATTTCCCAGGAATAACAAGAGGCTGTTCTGGAGCCTGGCTGTCCCACTGGGGGATTTGGGAGCTTTAATTAAGACAGCATCACCCAGGGGCTGAGGAATGATCCCCCACTCCTTGGAGGAGCTCAGATCCTCCTGGAAATCCTCCCCGTGGAAATTTGGGATGTTCAGCCCCGAGCCAGGCTGAGCTCTGCTCCTTCAGCACTCTCAGAATTCTTCTCTGGGGTTGATTTTTCCCCTTCAGGTGATTTTTGGGTGTTTAATTTAAGCAGATGTTGCTGTGTGAAGAGTAAAAAAATAAAGATCTAAGGGCCAGGAGAGCTTGGAAGAGAACAGAAATCCTGGTTTAGAAATCTGGGAATGTAGCAGGAAAATTTTCCTCATCCCTATCAGGAGAAATTTATCTCTATCAGGAGATATTTATCACTCTAAAGAGAGATTTATCTCCACAAAGATAGATTAATGAGGATGTATTTATAAGGACATCTTGATGTTTATAAGGATAAATGCCCTAAAATTTCCAAGGACCTGGAATTTTTCCAGGGAACAGCACCTGGATCCACAGCCAGCACCTTCCCTGAAGGGCTCAGCTCCCGAATCCCAACGCAGCTCTCCCACATCTCCTCCAATTCCCGTCTGCTCCCAGATTTTTGCCCCTCAGTGCATCCCAGGAGCTCTCCTGGGACGAGAGGGACACGTGGAGCATCTCCTGTGCTTGGCACAGCTGGAATGGCACAGCTGGAATGGCACAGCTGGAATGGCACAGCTGGAATGGCACAGCTGGAATGGCACAGCTGGAATGGCACAGCTCTGTTCCACCTGCACGTTCCTCATTTCCTGCTCTTTTTCCCTGTGTGGGAGAAGGAGCAGGGGTGGAATTGTGGATTCTGCCACTGCCAGGATCCGTCCTGGCTGCTCCCAGGGCCTGGAAAGAGGAACCAGAAATTCCCAATTCTGGGAAAAGTTGGGGTGGACTCGGACTGAAAGGGGGGAAATTCGGGAAGGAATCCCTGCCTGTGAGGATGAGGAGGGGCTGGGATGGAATTCCCAGAGGAGCTGTGGCTGCCCCTGGATCCCTGGAAGTGTCCCAGGCCAGGTTGGGATAATCTGGGACAGTGGGAGGGGTCCCTGCCATGGCAGGGGTGGCTCTGGGTGGGATTAAATCCCTTCCAACCCATCCCATGATTCCAGAACAATTCCACGTTTTTCCCTTGCCACCCCGTGCCTCTGTTCCCTTCAGGAGTGGAGCCCTGGAAAGGGCTGAGTCAGCAGGGACCAGGATCATGCCTGAAATCCTTAAATTACACATTTACTGTGGGGATGGAGCTCAGCTTCCAGCCTGGAGCGTTTCCTGCCCTCTGCTCGATGCCTTTTTAATGTCCTGTCTTGGATTCCTCTGAATGGAGAGACCAAAATATTGTCCTGACGTCAGGAATAAATCTGGACGTTGTTAGAAGCTGTGAGGGGAGAAATGAGCCCGGAAAAAAAAAAAAAAAAAAAAAGGGAAAATCCAGCCCAAAATCCAGCCCAAACCAAACCTCCTGCAGACTTAAGCCTGGATTTATTTTCAGGGAGTTTCAGCACGTGCAGCTCCCTCAGCCTGGAGGCAGAAATGTGTCCAAGTGTTGCTCCCAGCGGCGGGGCCGTGGTTTTGCTGGAATATTTTCCATGTTAAGTTGTGTTATTGTGGTTTTCTGGTGCCCCCATAATGTGTGGGTGCAGTTGGCTCTGCCTGCTGCTGCCCGTGCCCTTTACATTTTTTATTTTTTATTTTTTTATTTTTTGAAGCTGTGGCTGAGCTATCCCTGCTGCAGCTGAATGAGGGCGAGTTTTTCCTGGATATCAGAGCCCTAAAATGTCTTGGAATGTCTCATTCAGGGAAGAATAAATCCAGGATTTCTGCTGTGCTGTGAAGGAGCTGCTGGGCAATTTTTGGTTCTCAATCCTCTAAACCGGTCCTGGCTTGAATCCCAGTGAAAAAGGACCTGGATGCTGTGGATCAGAGCCATGGAATGGTTTGGGACCTCAAATCCCATCTCCTCCCACCCCTTCCACCACCCCAGGGTGCTCCAAGCCCTGTCCAGCCTGGCCTTGGGCTCTTCCAGTGATGGTGCAGCCACATCCTGAGCTCTCCCACGCCAGAATTCCCTGATTTCCCACTCTCCACTCGGGGACAGAAAGCTGAGAGCCCAAATAATGGAACTCCAAAGGTCTGGGGAAGGTTTTTCCCTCTGAGCTCTGGCTTTGCTTCCCTCAGAAATTCCGGGATCCTCATCCCCACTTGCCCACTGCACGGGAGTGGGGAGCAGGAAAAGAAGAGGATTTCACAGGATTCAATTCCTGCATGAAATTCCCTTTCAGTGCTGGAGCCTTGGGAGCTTTCCCTGGATTCTGCTGAGTTCCTGAAGTTTCCCCGTTGCACCTGGGCTGTTGCTTTTTTGTGGGAATCCCAAATCGTGGCTGCAGACAAATCCCTCTGGATTCTGCTTTTCCTGACTTAATCTGAGGAAATTTCCTTGAGCCCCTCAGCGAGCAGGGGCTGTGGGAGTGGGAGGGTTAATTTTGGGGGATGCATCCCCTGTGGAAGATTTGTCTCCTGGTGTTTGGGATTGGAGGGAGCACGGGGTGCTGCTGCTGCTGCTGTCCCGGTCTTGTGCAGAATTCCCCCAGGATTTTTGCAGGTGGGGTGGGATTTCGGAGTGGTTTTTCCCCTCGAGGAGCCCCTCCTGATCCCACGGAAAAGCCAGGACACGGTGCTGCTCCACCCGGGGGCCCTGAGCCGTTTTTCCTTGGGATAAGTTGGGAATGTGTTCCTACAATCCTGTTAGAGCTCCTTTTCCCCAGCCAGAATTCCCTCTGTGCTGCTTTATCCTCTCCCACCAGGATTTCTCCAGCCCTCTGAGTTTTCTCCTTTCCCTGGGCTTGGTCTCGGATGATCCTCGAGGGGCTCAGGACACTCGGTGATTCCCAAATCCCAAAAATTCCCGGGGAACAAAATCCAAACCCACTCTGTGCTCCGGGCAGCCCGGCTCAGCGAGGCTTTGCCAAAAGTTCAAATTCCACCTCCTGGATCTGCTCTAATCCCAATTAGCGTTTCCCAGGCTAATCTTGGTTTTAATTAAAGCAACCTGGAGCTCTGCCGTGACCTCTCCCTCTCTCCCAGCTGCTCCCGAGGTCTCCCAGGGTCGGGATTTTTGGAAAGGCTTTGGCATCTGGCAGCTCCAGGGTCATTAACACCTCCGGGAGCCGTCCCAGCCCCTCCTCCGGATGGTTTCCCCAAATTGTTGTGTTTTTTGGCTCCAGTCCCTCTGGAAAGGCTGCAGAGGTTGGATTTGAGCAGGAAAGGGGAGTTCACAGCTTGGAGCTGTTCCTTGATCCCCGGGGATCCCCAAAGCTGGGCTGACACCTTTTCCTTTCCTTAGGGAAACAATTTTCATTCCCAGCTCAAATCTCCTGAGCCCCGTCCCTGTTTGACCCACGGGGAAACTGAGGCACAGCCCTGGAAATGCCCTGGAATTGCCCTGGAAATGCCCTGGAATTCTGATCCGTGTCCTGCTCAAGCAGCTTTAAAGCTGCTCAGGGATTTTGTGTCTCTACGTGAGGACGTGATTTTTCTGGGAGTTTTTTTTTTAGGGGTAGACCGGATTTAGCCGAAATTCCTGAGAATTTTAGTTCCTAGACATCTTCTTTGGAGCCAAATCTTCCTCCTTTTTCCCTCCCCTCCTGTGGCTGCCTGGAAATAACAGAGCTCTGAAGGTCTGGGGAGGATTTTCCTCCCAGGATTTCACAGGATTCAATTCCTGGATGAAATTCCTCTCGTGGGTCAGGAGGAGTTGCCTGTTCCCACCTTAAACTGTGCTTGTGGAGCACTTGGATGCCAACAAATCCCGATTTATTAATATGTTGATAAATGGGATGCCAATAAATCCCCATCCAGACTTACAGCCAAAACCTGGAGACATTTCCCACTATTCCAGGGTTATCCAAGGTGATGTTTTGAGTTTCTGCAGATGGAAGCAGACGTGCAGGAACAGAAATGAATCTTTTATCCCATTGGGAACCCGGATTTTGGGATAAATCCCTCACTGCTGGCCATGAGAGTTCCTCACCCTCCTGGTTTTTCCACTGTTCGTGATGGGTTGGGATTCTTGATGGGGAGAAAAAAATGGTTCAGTTCTGATTTGGATGAAGTTTTTTTTTTGTGGAGAAACAGGACAATCATTTCCTACAACTCCCAACCCAGAGAACTACCTGGGGGAAAATGTGTTTTTGGGGTGAAATCATGTGGCAAACTGACCTGAACTTATCAACAGGGGACGTTTCACTTTGTTTGTCCACGCCACAAGAAATTATTGACCCCACTTTATTTGTTTTTTTTTTTTTTTTTCAGACGCTGTTGGGTGTAATCTCAATTTCTCGATTTTATATCATTACTAACATTTATTAAAACCTGTTTTTCCTCCAGGACAGATCGAGCTCCGAGGACTGCAAACACTGAAAATGGGAAGATCCCAAATTTTCCCTTCCAACCACTGCCTGCTGCTGCTGCTGCTGCTGCTGCTGGCCGAGCTGAGCTGTGCCCAGTACGAGCCCTGGCCGTACCTGCCTGGCTACCCCGAGCCACCCCCACAGGTGTTCCAGCCCCCCCAGAGAGACCCGAACGTCCCCAAAATCCAGCTGAGGCTGGCAGGGCAGAAGAGGAAGCACAACGAGGGCAGGGTGGAGGTGTTCTACGGCGGGGAGTGGGGCACGGTGTGCGACGACGACTTCTCCATCCACGCTGCCCACGTGGCCTGCAGGGAGCTGGGATATGTGGAGGCTGTGTCCTGGCTGCCCGGCTCCAAGTATGGAAAAGGAGAAGGTGAGGAATCTTTTCAGTTCCCAGTTATCCCAAATTTTGGGTTAATTGGTGGTGTTGGGGTGTTTGCTGCTCTGCCAGGAGCTGGGATATGTGGAGGCTGTGTCCTGGCTGCCCGGCTCCAAGTATGGAAAAGGAGAAGGTGAGGAATCCTTCCAGCTCACAATTATCCCTAATTTCAGTTTAATTTGTGGTTTTGAGTGTTCCTTTCTCGTGCTGTGCTCGGTGAGGTGATAAAGGTGTAAAAGTGTTGGAAAGCATCCAAAGGATGGACACAGGGATGGGGAAAAGTCTGGAGCAGCTGAGGGATCTTAGTTTGGGATCTCAGGAATCTGGGAGAGTCATTCCAGCTCCCAGGAATCCCAAATTTCAGTTTTATTGATGGTGTTGGGGTGTTTGCTGCTCTGCCAGGAGCTGGGATATGTGGAGGCTGTGTCCTGGCTGCCGAGCTCCAAGTATGGAAAAGGAGAAGGTGAGAGGATCTGTTCAGCTCCCAATAATTCCAAATTTCGGTTTAATTTGTGGTGTTGGGGTGTTCCTTTCTCGTGCTGTGCTCGGTGAGGTGATAAAGGTGTAAAAGTGTTGGAAAACATCAATAGGATGAACACAGGGATGGGGAAAAGTCTGGAGCAGCTGAGGGATCTTGGTTTGGGATCTCAGGAATCTGGGAGAGTCATTCCAGCTCCCAATAATCCAAATTTTGGTTTTGTTGGGATGTTTCCTGCTATGCCAGGAGCTGGGGTACGTGGAGTGTCCTGGGATTTTTTTGGGATTTGGGATTGGATTTCTCCTGCCCTCCCTGGAGCCTGGTGGATCCCACAGGGATAAAATTCCACCCAGGAGGGCTGAACGTGCTGCTCTGGGTGGATTTTAGCAATTTCTGAGTGCTCACACCTATAAATGTCCCATAAAAGAGCGAGCAGGGCCCGAGGGAAATCAAAAACCTGGAATGGGCTCCCAAATTTGTGGATTTTGGCTCCGGAGGCAGAGCAGGAGATTTCCAAGTGAGGAAGAGCTGTGACACCAGAAAATAAACCAGGCTGGCCACGGGGTTTAACAGGAGGGAGAATTCCCAGGGAAATCCTCAGGCCAAAAAATAAAAAAAATTAAAAATAAAAATAATAAAAAAAAACCCTATATATTACGTGTATAAAAAATTATATAATATTAATCTATATTAATATAGCAAAATATCACATATATTAAAATATCACATATATAGTAAAATGTTAAAATATTAAATGCATATATTTATATTATATATATTATATATAATTATTGATTTATATCATGATATAATAATATAGTCATGAAATATTAAACTGCTTTATTTAAAATATTAAATAATTTATTTCCTTACATAATAATTTTATTGATCATTATAGACATATTCATTCAATATCACAGAAATAGATTTCTTTCAAATATTAAATGAATATATGAAGAACCAAAGCAGGAAGAGCTTCCCAAAAACTGTGGGCCAGAGCTTTTCCCAATCCATCAAT